CTGTCGCACCACATGCCCCTCTTACTGGAAGAGACCCAAAATTAAAGTTGCTGAAAACTATTGGACGGGTGACACAACTAATTGGCGGTCACGATGGCTCGGTATGAAGGAAAGAAACGAGCGGTCGAGTTACCGTGGTGGCTTCCTTAAAAGGGTTGATTGAGCAAACTACAATGATATGAAGTGCCTAAGCAAACTACAGGTTGAGAAGTGCTCAAGCAAACTACAAGGCTGAGACGAGACGTACTAGATTACAAGTGGCATTTTCCCAGACGCGGAAGCCACGCTATCAGCAATGTGATAAGACCCTGAAAACTACCCAAAATCAAATGCTCGTCACAATCAGCGTGTTTCGTGGCAAGGATGATAACAAAAGAGTGCTAAATAACCAGCTGTATTGGAAGTTTCACAAGAATGCTGGGTTGTGAACAAAACTTTCGCCCCAGGCGGGACTAGAACCCGCACCTCTCGCTTTCCGGGCAAGTGCGCTACCAGTTACGCTACCGGGGCACCATTTCATTCCAACTCAGCTTTCATGGTATATTTACCATAGCTTTCAGCACTCACTTGACTTGTTTTAAATTGCTACTGCTGTTTTTGAAAGCAATTCGCCTTGCGAAGGTTCCACAAGAATGCTGGGTGCTCGAGTCCCGTCTGGGGCGAAAGTTTTGTTCACAACCCAGCATTCTTGTGAAACATTCGCAAGGCGAACTGCGGCCAAAAACAGCAGTTAACAATCAAAACAAGTCAAATCTATCGGAAGCGTTGGGCGCGTCCATACTCAGCGTTTTGCGCAATCAGAAGATCAGAGATCAAAAGATTAGTGGGTTTCGCTGAAGATCAGACGAACTGATTGCTTATGGATCGTTCATAGTTGACGATCGTACGTGCGATTAGGCGAGTAGGCGATTAGCGATTAGGCGAGTAGGCGATAAAGAAGGATACGTATTGATTTGTTGCTCCGCCCATTGAGCGATCGCCTAATCGCCTACTCGCCTACTCGCCTACAAACAAACCAATCGGTGCGCCAGGGTCAACCGTCACGTTCGAACATTTTCGGGAATTTTTGCGACCCCCCTCTGGAAGGGGTCCAGTTGCGACCCCCACCAATACACAATTGCGACCCCCCAATACAACACCAGCCATCCCCCCACCGCGACCTTCCCTCTTCTATAGTATTTGATTCTGAGACCAGTTGACACAGCCCAAAACCTACCTAAAACTCCGAAACTCCGCCTACTTTCTTCCCCAAAAATAGCCGTCGAGCGGGGGGTATATACAACCACTGAAACGGCAACTTTTTTGCTTTTTTTCACACACACCTCTGCCCTGCCTGATGACCAAAGCGCGCGCAATGCGACCCCCTTTTCCCTCCCAGAGCCCAAATGCGACCCCCTTTTCCCTCCCAGAGCCCAAATGCGACCCCCTTTTCCCTCCCAGAGCCCAAATGCGACCCCCCCCCGTTCGCACTGTTCTAACGCACGGTTGACCTGATGTCCCATCGCCTACTCGCCTGTCGCTACAAACAAACCAATCGCGTACGCATGAGTCTCCCCAGCCTAATCGGCCACCCTCCTAATCGCCTAATCTATACATATATTTTCATTACAGACGAATCGCCTAATCGCCTCGCCTGATCGCACGTACGATCGCCAACTATGAACGCTCCACAACACAGCTTCATAGTCCTTTTTTCCACAAAAGTCTTCATAGTCCCTTTTTTTCCTTTTTTTTGAGCAGCATAACAATTTGAAGCGAAGCGGCTCTCAGACGCCGTCCCATCTAGACCATGAGGCCAAGTCTTATTATCACGGGTGTGCGGAGTGGTCCGAAGTCTACGCTCAGCAGTGCGGACGTCCTTAGTACGTGATAAGACAAGAGGGTATAGACCCTAATCTATCTACCCTTCGTTCGATGGCCCGAAATCAACGGAGGAAATGGTTGTACTGAAGCGTGTAAAATACGCATTCTTTGGCGGCATTCATTCTTCATACTTTAGAAGATTCGACATTTAGACTCAAAAGGAGAAAGATATACATCAATTATAATCGGACCACTTGATATGAGTTTCCACGCGATCTGGGCATTTCGACATCGATCTGTGCACATACTTTCGCGAATGTATCACGAAGCAAAGATTTGTTCATGTCCAGAATCTTTTCCCTTTCACCTTTGATCAGCGTCTGGTAACTCGTTAGTGGTAAGAACCAAGAAAATAAGAAGAAAATAGGCAGGGAATAATATACTGTGTAATGTGCGATATGAAACCAGGGCAACGGTCAGACTGTGCCTATCTTAAAAATTTTATAGCTCCCTCACCATAGACCACCCTCGTGTTCCTGGGACAAATCGACACACTCCAACTCCGCCCACTTTTCCTTAAAAACGGCAAAAGGGCCACCAAAAGTGGTGGAGAGGGAAGGATAAACATTCCTTAAAGGCAGTGATTACGATAATTTCAAGAAGGTTTAGAGAGACGTGGTGGTGCTCAATGGTACGCCAGTGGCGAAAAAGCGGAGAAATCCGTCAAAAAAAAACGGGACCCCTTTTTTGGCCGTTGGTTTTCACTCATGAACAGGTAACAGCTCAGAAAGCGGACGAGTTCAGCGCAACGCGTTTGGTGGCACCATGCCAAACCACGCTCCAATCGAGTTGCTCCAGTTGTGCCGCTGCTGGCAACGCAGCTCGTCCAAATCACCAACTAAACTAGTGGGCGGATCGCTTTTGGGGGCGGAGTGCTTTCGAAGTCCTGCTCAGCAACCAGCGCACCTTTCGTCGTGAAAGCGCTACACCTCGCTTCCCTGGCAGCCAAGTAACTGATTCGTGTGGTGCATATGCTTCCCGATGCGCTCCCTCTTTATCGTAATCGCTGCCTTTAAGAAACGGCGGGTCCTCTAATTTTTTTCTATTTCACGCTTCTTTCATGAAGTATTCGTCAAAATCGTCAACAAAACCCATCAGGAACAACACCCTCTTCCGCAGCCACGACCCCCTCCCCCAACATCCACAAATACGACCCCCTCCAATCGCACTTTCGAAAAGATAGTTAACCTTGGTCAACCCCAAAAACGACCCTCTCCCAAATCTGTAAATATGAATCCCCCGTTCGAATTCGAACGGACGGTTGACCTTACATAACCTAACCCTACAGAACCCACCACCGTGTTTCCACTATATACAAATGGTTAAGTATTACATTGGGCACAGAAAGTGTTGAACATGGCGGAGGACAGTTTTCATAGCGAATTATGTAGGTTGATCGTGACTCGCAGGTGTTCCCAAACAAACATTGTGCCGTATTTTAAGGCCTGTGGCTAGTGACCCCCAACCCTACATTGATCCCACATTTTCCAGCTAAATGTCAGCCTCGGCTGTAAATTACTGGCGAAAATTCTTTGAAAGAAAGCACATTAGGCGTCAGATTACGGTAGTCACTTGTAGTGCATTGCACACACACACCACAGTGACGTGCGCGCGAGGCTTCAAATTTTAATTTCAGTTGCATATTCTGCTTTTATTCCGAAGAGGTTTTTTTTATTCGTTTCCTGTATTCCATAACCTTGGATTTGATAAGCGCTGGTGTGCTAGAGGGGAAATTGAGGCGAAGTTGCTCATGTCAATAATGAAATTTTTCGTAAGAGAAGAAACCTCCAGGGAGTGGAATCCATTCTGTTTGCACGAGAAACGGTTTATGCATAAGCATGAAAATAGGAAGGCTTGTGGTTCTGGAGTCCATCAGTGCGCTGCCAAGCGATGCTCCTAATACGCTGAAGCCCTTTCGACGACATCTTAGGCTGATGTCAGAGTCCGCGATCATTTGCGCGATTTGCGCGATTTTCGCGAAACCTGCGATGGATCACAGGAGTTGGAAGTGCCCGATGAATACTGCGAGGTGTTGTTTAATCCTGCTGCGAATTCTGCTTGGCAGTAAAGATTCGGCTCCCCCACTTTCTTCACGATTTGGGGCGCGGCCGCGGCGAGCGCGGACGAGTCGATAGTGCCCGCGAACTGTGGTGGTGATGCGTTATTCAAATTTACCCACACAGTTCGCGGGCACTATCGACTCGGCCGGGTTTGCCGCGGCCGCGCCCCAAATCGTGAAGAAAGTGGGGGAGCCGTACAAGATCGCGCCATCGCGCAAACGCGAAAATCGCGAAGAGTGGATCGCGGACTCTGACACCAGCCTTACCCATCTCCGTCCCCTTCCAACATTCAGCGTACGGCACTAGGACAGAAAGCGAATTTTTCGCGTTTCGCAGCGCGAAACATTTTTCGCTGCGGGAACCTCAGGTCCACCGCTGATCATCAGTGGACCCGAGGTTCCACAGCGAAAAATGTTCCGCACTGCGAAATGCAGAGGTCGCTTTGTTTTAGTGGACCATACCCGTACAGTCATTCTGCCGTGAACTTGGTTGCAGGCGATTGTGACTGTTCTATTGTTTTTAGAGGGATCACTAGTCAGCTGAAGAAAGAATGTCTCCTAAACATCTTGTCAAACAAAATCCTACAAATAAAGGAAAGCTCGAGAAGGATGTTCTCAGGTTTTTGGATGCACACAAGGAAGAAGGTATGATAGGCTACTTCACTGGAGTTTTATGTATTGCTGAACTAACTTTTTCAGCCACAACTCGTTACGAAGCTCTAACACGTAAGGGCGTTGAAGTGTATTTCAAAATTCGCGAAGATGTTATGAAAGCTGCAGAGTCTATGCTGCCAAAGGTGAGAAGATTGTCAGGTTACTTGACATGGCACAAATAAATAAGTAGTTTTAGGACCGCCAAATAGGCAGCTATTCCAATGAGAGGGTGCATTTCGATGCAATAGCTCTCAGTGGCTACAACAGTAACTCCATCTCTCCTGGGGAAGGAAGCCTTGCGGTTAATGACCAATTTACTTGTGCAAAAGTAGACTAGGTGGTTATTACCTTTTCTGAACCTGACAAAAGAGATGTTTGGAAGTTAACACAGTTGGGTGAATAAACAATTTGAAGGGATTTTCGTTTCCCCAACCTGAAGAAATGATAGCATACGGTCCGACAGGGGGTGGGGTGGTGGGCGAGTCAGTCGACATGTGTGGAAAGCTGGAACTTGGAATGTGCCAGTTTACCCCATCTCGCTGAGGCGCAGCCATGCAGCGGCTCTTTCCTCCTTCCCCTCTTAATAGGCGGTGTAGCGGGATAGTATTGCAGTAATTTCCAACCGGTTCTTCAAGTGGTGTGGTTTGTCTCTTATCCGTTGGATCTCTAAGAGAATTTTTAGTGCGTCGCCGCTCTGGTTGAGGATAATCGTGCATTCTAGAATGTTTGTTAATCTTGAATTTGAGTTTCATCTAATTGTGCGTCTTTTAACGTGCATCAGGGATAAAAGAATTTGATGGGAATTGGGTCCTTTGTAGAGTCTGTGAAATGTTTCACGCAAGACCAAAAACATTCGGCGTTGATCAACTTTTCGGGGTGCGCTATGCATTCGACTTCCATTCGGAACTATAGTGGCTTTTCTAACTGCGGTCCATAGAGTGATTTGTGTGGGCTAGCCCATTATGCAAGATAGTGTATCTCTCTTCCCAAACAGGACTTGCACCAATACACCGATCTCGCAAGGTAGGAACGCTTGGCTAATCTGGACGGCCATCCAGGCCATACCATCCAGGATTTCCCTGACCGCGCGCATAGTATGCGGCGCCACTTGGCACTACACCATTGCCGTCTCACATAATCATTATATTGTCATTATGCCTACATTTATTTTGAGTATTGAGTCTTTATAGGAAGTGCTCGAATCCAATCTTTTCGATTTCGTAAGCGGAGAAGCTCTTGCTGACGGCTCTCTGGCAGATGATTCAAAAGAAAAGGGTGATTTTGAAAACTTCGTGAGTTTTCAAAATTTTCTATTTATTTTCAAGGAGTAAGATGAGAGTAGGTTTTTCTGAGTCGTCCCGCTCGAAGCCTGCTCACACTGCCGAGAGGAGTCATGCAAAGAAATAGTGCACACACATGTGGACAATCTGTGCTCTGAATAATGAATCCATGGAAAAGATCACAATCGTGTTGAATACTTTACAGGAGGGTTAATCTCTGCTTCCCTTCCCATGCTTCCCTTGTTCTCATTTCCTTATGCCTAGTCCCAAAAAGATCCGCGGTTCCTGTTTCAGTCGCCGGTTCGCCCGTTGGGCGGATCCCTAATCGGGCCCTAGGCAATAAATGTAACGCACGGAAGTCCAGGCATACTCTGGGTCTTACCCGGTCTTACACCGAACATTTACACATACACCTTTTCCGGGTTTACCGACTACTTGAACTTTCTTCTGTGGTCCTGCCACGAATGGTGGAGAGCACAGACGATTAGAGAACGGCGCCTGGCTCGGCTCTAAATCCCAAGAAGGTGAGAACCAGGACTAAGCCTTGTAGGGGGAGGGACTCCGAGGTGGGTGAGCCAACAGGCAAAAGTTTGAGTGTGTGGGTTATTGTGGCACGAGCCGCTGACAAGGCGCAGGGCGCAGACGAGAGCGTGAATCGAGGCAGCTTAAAGGACCGAGTTCAAGTAGTCCGTCGACCACCGTTGCTCATGCAGTGTCCATGATTCGAAAACTGTGGAATCTTGAGCAGATCTGAGGCGCTCAAACACGCTTACCTTCCCCCTGCTTTTCATACATTACGATGGCATCGAATTTGCGAAATGCGTGGAGATTGTCAGAGTAACCTCACCCACCCATCGCAATCGATCACCAATCCAATGGGCTTTGTATTACTGTCTGAGGATAGGGTGCTATAGGTCCCCGATTGCATGAAGTGATGGTTTTCCGTCTCTCTTCTGCGTGCACTATTTGGCTTTCTCTCATTCGCTTCTCTGAACATATTTAGCAGAGTTTCCCTCTTATGAACTAGATTGTGAAGACAAACTCTGCTTGTATGAACCCGAAAATTCAATTAGGATTAGGTTTAATTGTGTATTCTATGTATGTTGCTATCAAGTAGTATGTTTGAGATCGACATACGACCCTGATGCAGTTGCTGGCTTTTTGGAAATGTTCTTACCTGTCGTAGTACAATCTACATGCTATGAGAGATGGAAAGTGAGTGTTGTTCAGTTGATCAACTATTCTTAGGGATTGATCTGGGAGCAGTTGCCGTTCAGACTACTTAAATGTATCATTTTATGCCATCGTTCCCATTTGTGCTGCCTGGTTTCAGCGTACGAACTCCTCTGCAACAAAACATGGCTTTTTCGAACCTTCCATCTGTCATTAGACCGAAAGTCAATGACGTCAGGTGAGCATGCGATGGAGAGCTGGTTTTCCTGCCATTTTCTAATATTATCCCTCGTTGAAGAGAACGTCATTTTCGTGCTGCTAAAGGCAATGAGGTTGCTTTCTCAGTTGACGGATCTCCTCGTCGTGCTGCTAATCCAAGTCGGATCATAACGGTTGTTAATGAAGCAGGTACGATTTCAGAACTTCTTCAAGTCAGTGTCTCATAACGTATAGAAGTGTTATCGCTCAGGGCTGATATGGATACGATGAAATTTATTGAGTTAACCTATTAGACCCTAGAATTTTTTGTTTTGGCTTCTTTTCTGCGAACAGTGCCCATCTCACTGCTTTTTCAAGTTACCGCTTGCTGAAGGAGCTTTATTCGGCAGAGTTGTGGAGGCAGTAAAGGAATCTGGCGGTAAACAATCCTTTTCCTATGCTGTTCCTGATCACTGGAGCTCAATTAAGTTTTGCTATCGGTGATTTCGGTCCCACCGCTTTTGGAATTGGTTGTTACGGTCAGAGGTGCGGTTCGCAGCCAGGGTTAGAGAGAAAGAACACAAAAACTACACCAACACCGAAACCAAGACCCCCCACACTCGGTACAGGGGCAATGCCGTTGTGTGTATGAAGGAAAAAATATGTCACAATTTTAGCAAAATCGGCACGATTCGACAGCGATTGGTGGATCTAGCTCTGCGTGATGCATGCTTTGGAGCCCCAAATGCCTCCGGCGCTTACGCCACAATCGCATGGGCTTTCAGGTACATGGTGGTGTTTGAGCGAGGAGTGGTTACGGCCGCCCTCGAATCGCGCTCTGTCCCAACCGTGACTGCGATCGCGAGAAATCGCAAAGTCTGTACCTACCACTTTCTAAGCAGACTTCGTTTCAGTCAGCTAATTTCGAAACATGGATAGGCAGGATTCAATCGTACGTTATAGGGTGGTAAAAGCGTTTTGCTCTCTCTATCCTTCTGATTTCCCCGAGTTTTTTTAGGATTCCATATTCTATGAATCATTTTGGGCAAGCACCGCAATCTCATCGAGATTCCATTGTCGTAAAAGCGCAAAACTTCGCTCGGATGTTTCTAGTGTATCCCTTGGGGCTAGTTACAAATCGACTGTGGAGGACTTCATTCATAAGATTCTGAAAACTACTTGTTATTAGCCACTATTCACCTCTGTATCCATGTAGAGCTCGTTCTGTGCACTTTCCGAGAAATATTCGTCTCACGCGCAATGTAAACGTGATGTCATGATGTCAGGTGTGCCAATACGGTAGACGTATATGTTCGTTAGGTCTTCTGCTTGCTTCTACATACTTTATTCCAGATTATCGAGAGTGAGGAGGACGCGTTTTCTCCAAATTCGCGTGAGGTTGTGTCAATGTTCAAGTCCTTGATGCGAAGAAAGATGACGGAGGCTGAAAGTGGAGATCACCCTCAGGAACTGGACTGATACCGGCTAGCCCCAATAAAGGTTTTTATTCGGGGAACTAACGGCGGATATCTCATGTAATTATGTGATGTAAATACCACTAACTTTTTAGATTTTTTGATCTGTTGGAATCTAATTGATTTTTTCTTTGCATGTCAATGAAGTGTCAATTGTGTAAAATTATATAGTTAACTACGTGGATGTGGTGACAATAATGAAACTGCAGGCAAATTATTCCCTTATTTTTCATAATGTGACATAAAGCTGCAATTAGCGACTGTTGTTCTCCTGTTCAAGGTCTCCTCCTAAACAAATAACTTACTGTTATACTATTCCGTATTATTATATATATTATTATTTTTATATTTGTTATTTTTAATTATTGTTAGCATAGTTTTTGCCCTTTCCATTTTTTTTTTCTGGGGATTAAGTGGGTTTTGTTTGCAAGCAACGATTGCATCATGTTCAACTAAGAAGTGTCAGCATTGATGATTTACTGTAGTTTTGCGATTGTGACGCCGACGTTTTTCGACGCCTAAATATGGATGAGCTGTTCTCACCAGTTTTTCTTAGATTTCGTAAACGTTAGAATCAAAATGCATTGCTGTTAGATTTTGCTGGAGGTGCTCTGTTCAGTTTCGGAATGTGAACGAACAGTTGAGCAGTGGGTTTTTTTTTGCTGGTTCAGGGGGGGGGGGGCGATTCCCCGTCACCAGATGATTGATGACGCATGCGCCACGAATACGCGCCCTGCAATGTTTTTCGCAACAAACCAGTTAGGAGCGAAAGTTGCTCTTTATTACCAATGCATTCTACAAGCGCTTGTGGTTGTGGTTGCCGAATCTTATTGTCAAAGTTGTTTGCTTTTTGCGATTAATTTACTTTGACATTAGGGATTGCTCATTGTGCTCTGTTTGTCGTAGAAGTTCATTGGGCATTAGGGGCAAGTGACGGCTATCTCTGGAATGTGTGATGTCCAGTAACACTTAAATTAGTGCTCCGCCGGAAGCGCTGTGCTCAACGCCGGCAAGTATTGATCCTTCCTCATACGCCCCTGTTTGGGCTTCGCGTTTGATAAAAGCCGATTCAAATTCGATAGGAAACGTCGATCAAGCGCGCTACATTTTTGTTTTCTATTTTTCTCTGTCTTGTTAATAAATATTTTCCTTTGTTTCCAACATTTGTTTCCTTTTTGTTGATTCGTTGCTGGCAAAAGGCTGTTGCTATTGATTGTTGAGTCGATGCCAATGTGCAAGAGGGTCTTTTCCGTTCTTTCCTGTTGTGCTGCCCATTCATATTTGAGACAATCGTTTTAGTTATGGCTGATAGTGAAGTGAAAGCTCGACGTAAGTTGGAGGAGGCGGAGAAGAAAACAAGAGGCGGTGGAGGTTTCCTTGGCAAAATTTTCGGAGGTGGTGGTTCTGATGAAGCTGCCGATCTGTTCATTCAGGTATGCTTTATTGATTACATATTTCTGGGTCTAATTCAGTAAGGGGCATGTTCTTTGAAAATTGCTGGCGCCTGCAGAAGTTGCAATTTTTTGCGAATCGAGGAATTCTTTAGGCTGCGTGAAGATTTCAATTTCCGCCTTAACACCCACCCCGAAGCTTCCTTCCCCTTTGAAAAACGGATTTTAGGCGATGAAATGATGCACCACATGCCCATCCCTCCTCTCTCACTGGATAGGACCCAATATTTTCTGTTGTTATCTTTTTGAACTTAAATAGGAGTAACAACATCATTGAGAAGTTCCTACGCTGTTTTGTGATAACACAATAGTTTTATGCTAGTCCTTCAAATAATTATTAATTACTTCCATTCTATCAGATTCTCTTTATTTCTAGCTAGCATAATTATTGAAGGCAACTTTTGAATACATCACTATCTTCTCCCCTTTCCATTTAGTTTGACGCCTGCATATTCATGAAATAGCTAAGGAACTTGAGAGTATCACTTCATTATATAAACCAGAACTTTGGTGTGTCGGTTTGTTGTGTGTGTGTGTCGTTCTGTCCGTCCGGACCAACCGCTCACAAAACCAGGGAGTACGAAGGGCAACACTTCGTGATGTTGATGTCATGATCATGATAACACCCACAGCGGCTATATAAACACCGATCGAGCACACTCAGTCTCATTCTACATGGTGCTGCCGTGGCAGCCGGATGAGCGGGGAGGGGAGGGGAGGGGTAGGAAGAGGGTAGAGGGAAGGGGGCAAGAAAGGGGAGGCTGGAAGGGAGGGGAGGGGGAGGAGGAAGAGGAGAGGGAAAGGGCCGGAGAGAGAGGGGTATAAGGAGGTATAACACATTCAATAGTGAGGTGGTTAATGGAGTACGTCATGCTGCTATTCCGTGGTTCCTCCCTACCCTGTGATGCGCGCGATAGCGGGCGGAGCAAACCTGGTGTTTTCAATAAAGCAGCGCGAGCTCATTGGCACTATATCACTCCTACGTTTACTCCATTCATTATTCCATCTAGCGCCTACAGAACTTTTGAGCAGTGATCGAGCTTCATCTCTTTACTCAATCAATGTTGAATACATCTAGTGCTCATGGTTTTTCTTTTAACAATTTAACATTTTCTCACAAAAATTCTGTTTAAATACCTCTAAATGTAAGTCTCCTAGCACGACGTTGAAGTCTCGACCACCGCTGAAGATGGAGACGATGTTACTGATGCTGATACATCCAGTAGGTGCAGTGACGCCGCAATGGAATGTGACTTGTGCGGTCGCGAATTCCCCAATGTTGTCGATTTTGAAACACACTATGATGCTGCACATTCTCACCAATGCGTTGCTTGCTCGAAAATGTTCATCACGAACAAAGCTCTCGAAGTGCACAGCGATGAGAAGCACTGTCCTTTCCATAGGCTGCGGATGGAGCAGAATCCAAACGGGTTTCATTTCAAATGTTACCATGAGAATTGTGACCAGAGCTTTGCTGAGGAAGGTGAGCGTGACGTACACTGCCGTGAGAAGCATAATATCGACACCGTTGAAGTGGTTATTGAGCGAAGAAAGCTCGCCAAGAGGGTCTGTGATCTCGGATCGTCTTTGGACAGATTGACCGTTTCGTCGAAAAAGAAAAGTACCGTGCCAAGAGCGATTTGTTTTGGAGGAGTGCAGGAAAAAGTATTTGAAGGTGTTCGTAATGTTCGACGTCCACGATCTAAGAAGTTGGATAGCTAGCAACTCATTGACTGATTTTAATTATACATTAAAACTATTAATAAAAAAATTATGTGGTTGTGTTGTACCATAGCATATTGGTTTGTACCAGGAATTATCTCACTATTTGTCAGGCTGGAAACTTGTTTAAAATGGCAAAGTTATGGAAAGAAGCCGGCGACGCGTTTGTCAGGGCAGCTGAGCTTCATGGAGCAAAGGTTTCTTACTTTTTTTTCTGTTTTGCTTGTCAAAGGGTAATCTTTTACTGTGTTAAGGGCGATTCCAAGCATGATTGTGCCAGTCAATACGCAGAGGCCGCGAATTGCTACCGGAAGATCAATCCGCAGGTATTTACTGCTTTCATAATCAATTCTAGATGTTCGAGTGAATCTGCAGAATCGATTCGTGATATTTATAAGGAAGACTGAGTGTGAATCCATATACAGAACGAATCTAATGAATTAAAATCATTATGAATTATGTGGTTGTATTTCTTTCATTTTTAATCCCAATTCTGTTCATGATCAAACGGTCAAAAGTTTTTACAGTTAGCTGTGGATTGTCTACTGAAAACTTCTGAAATTTACACTGATATGGGCCGGTTCAACATGGCAGCGAAGAACCACGTCACAATCGCGGAGCTGTGAGTGTTTTCGTAATCAGTCTTTGATGGATGAAAAAGTGTTTCAACGTTTATAACTTTGTTTTTTTTGGCATTTTCTTTTGTCCACTACTACTTTTTGCTTTTGTTCCGTGTCTACTGGCAATGGATTATTCAGATTTGAAACGGAATGTCCTGATACGGAACAATGTATTCAACATTATCAAAAAGCAGCAGATTATTACAAAGGGGAAGAGTCCAAGAGTAGTGCTACCAAGTGTCTTATCAAAGTGGCTCAGGTTGGTGGTCTCTGAGCAATTTTTCTTGCTTGATCCTCCTTTCGAACTATGATATTAGATTGAAATGTCGAAGGGCTCGATGTTGGGCATTCTTTTTGTTGGTTTTTTTGTGAAAAGTCATTTATAGTTGCTTTCGCGTCCACTCGATCACATTACCTGCGATACATATATCCTACTATTATATAAAGCGCTAACTTTGTGTGTCGGTTTGTGTATCTGTATGTGTGTGTGTGTGTGTGTGTGTGTGTGTGTGTGTGTGCGTGTGTATGTATGTATGTGTGTCCGTCCGCAAAATGAAGTGAGTGAGAAGGAAGCTCATGGGATAAACAAACCGCTAACAAATCGGGTAGCTTACAGGATTTGAGATATCAATGTTTTGTAGCAGGATAGTTGTGATAACACTCTTAGGGCTATATAAACACCTGCTTAGCACACTTCCGTTCATTCCACATGGTGCTGCAGTGGCAGCTGGAGGGCAGTGGAGAGAGGAAGGGAGGATGAGGAAGGGAAGCGAAAGGATGAGGCAAGGGAAGCGAAAAAATATCTACATTCATTCATTGGACGGTGAAACTCCAGTTCGGGGGGGGGCACTCCATTGCTATCTTATCCGTAGTACTAGAGAGCAGTTCTTTGGGCTATCGAACACTACGGATAAGATAATAAGTGAACGACTCATTTCGAGCGTACTTTTGATAAGGACCGGTGGATGTCCTACATTCCACACTACCTGCCCACATCCCATCCACTTTTCTGCACAGGTGATCCACCCTGGAGCTCCTGCACCCTTAGCCCTTTGCGGAGGTGTCCTTTCTCCTGGTCCAGGACCGTTCCCTTGGGTCATGGCAGCGCGGAAATTCGCCAGACTGTTTCGGGTTATCCACCTGTCATTCACCAATATTTTAATAGAAGTCGCACTTTAATGGTGCAGTCGATATTACCGCGTCGGTGCGCCCTCTTATCCTTATCTTTGAGGGAGTATGTGTGGAAGAGAAAATGCGAAGGGGCCCCCCCGGAATTACTGCGCATGGTTGGACCTATCAAATGATTGTGTCCCTTCTACTGTATGAAACACCATTGTGTTGCATACGCGTCACTTCCACGAGGTGTTGGTGTCACAGGAGGAAGGGACCATAGCGGAGGATAGAAAGCTTGCGCAGGAAAGGAAGGTCCCGGCGGTTGACGGGGGACTAATCTGGTCCTTAATAAACGAACTCTTTCTTCGATCTAACTGGATACCGAAAACAGTCTTACGGTTGTTCTTAGAGCGGAGGCGCTCCTTCTCATTTTATGTTTAAGGCGCCTTCTTTTTAGGATACGGTTAGCTTTCTTTTTTGCCTATTACATTTTTATATTATGACAAAGTCTAGTTGAATATTCGGAGCGATATTTCATTTTCCACTCCCCACTTTCTTCCTTCCATCATTCTTCTCTACTTTCGCAGCTCTCATTGTTGACGCTGTTCTACTCTACCCGAAATTAGTAGTTATCATTTGGGGACTAGTAATCTTACAGCTTCGTTTTAAAGAGGCTTAATTTTTTTGTAGTTGTTATTTTTTTTCCTGCTGGTTTTGTAATGTGTTTCAACTTGGGTTTTATTTTTTCGTGATTAACGTATTTGCTTGCGGTAGGAAATTTTCCCTGCCGTGCGTGTTTGCGTTACATTCACGAGCGATTACTGTAAACTATAAAAATTTTGGATGCTATTGTTTTCTTTCTACTCAGTTAATTCCGAGAAAGTGAATGCAAAATCGTCAAACTTTTCTTTCAGTACGCTGCACAATTGGAACAGTACCAAAAAGCTATTGCCGTGTTCGAGGAAATTGCTATGTGGGAGGCAGACCATCCTACTCTGAAATATGCCGCTAAAAATCACTTCTTCCAAGCCCTTCTATGCTATCTTTGCATCGATGTGGTAAGTAGCAAAATGGCTTGACGAACTTGAGGCGTGGTCATACCTTGCGACCGCCTCACACTTTTTTTGCAGTTCGAGTACGAAGTAGATATCATTGATCATGCAATCGGAGTACCGCATGATCGATGTATACATATCTACTCCTCAAAAACTTGCAGGATCGCAAACTCTGATCGCGGCCTATATGGTTGAACAATATGAATGAAAAGTTTTCAGCTTGACGCTCAACATGCGCTGAAGCGATACGAGGACGCTTCTCCATCTTTTGCAGACACTCGCGAAGCTAAGCTGATCAAGGTATGAAAGTTTGTTATTGGTGGGGCAGAGTTTGCTGCACCAAGATGTCGCAAAACACAGCTGCAGCGTTGAAGAGTTGGAACTACTATTTACTTTTATTTTTTCATTTATTTTTTTATTCTTACTGATTAGCGTCTATATGTGGTAGCGGGATTCCCGCGCAAACGGTGGAACCCTGGGCCTCAGAAGACGACGATTTTGTCGAAACATTAGGCCGAACTAATGAATGTTCCACCTATAAACCTCGTACTACTTTGTTCGATTCATATTCATTGTATAGGTTAATCTAGCAACATCGCAATATTTTTGTGTGTAGTAGTACTCCTTTATGCTCCCCAGACCACTCCGTAATTGAAGTAGTATTGTTTGAAATCATTTGAAATAATATTCATTCCGCGTTGTTCGGGTTGATGAAGTAGGACGAGTACAATGATGGTGGGTAGATATTTTCGTTAAGGATCTCATCGCATGTTTGGAAGATGGCAACGAAGAGCTCTTCACGGATACTGTTAAATCGTTCGATAAAATCAGTCGGCTTGACCAGTGGCATACAGGATTGTTGGTGAAAATTAAGCGATCCATTAGCAAAGAAGAGGAAGATGATCTCAAGTAATTGTTCAATTGGATTTTCTTCTATGAAATCACTGCGCTTTGATTATATTGTGCACCTTATTGATGAACATTTTCACTTAATACTCGGTGGTGTAGTAAGGCTGGACTGTTTGACTATTTGTGTTAGAATCACCATGTAAATCAAAGCATCCATATAATGAGGGTTGTGCAAGTGTTTTATTGTAAATACGATGCATAGGTTCCGAGCAGCAACACAGTTATTGTAAGTAGATTTAATGAGTAAAAATAATTGGACCACTTAGTAAATATTAGCTTGTTGTGATGGAATTGCGCGGAGAAGCATTGCTAATAAAGGTACCACGTTATTGTTCAAATGTTGTCAGTGAAGATGGAAATCTTATGTAATACTGTCGGAAAGTGTTGTTCATTCAGATGTAGGTAGTCGTTGAAAGATCATTATGCTCTTGAGCTCTTAGTAATAAATAAGGGAAATGCGGCAAGACGGGAGGAGGTGGTGAGGAAGGCATAGCGGCCGCAAAGCCCTTATAATCGTGGATCGCTTCCTGTTACAAATAGTAAATTTCAGTGCTGAGCTTTAGGGGGGGAGGACTTTTCTAC